AATCTCTGAAGACACACAACCACCCTCTTGCCTTGCTTTGAAATATTTTGTTTTCAGAAACTTCTGATTTTATTTTGGCACAATGTTATGATTTTATGATATGATAAATTTTTACTGTAGAATATGAATTGTATTCACATTAATTTTTTCTTATATTTGAAGCTGGAAAGTTGGATTTCAAAAGGGATATTTGAAGACCAATTTTCATGAACTAACACAACACTATCTACATAAAATGCTGGGAAACAATACAGTGGCAGGTGAAATAGTTCTCTATCTCATCAAAGGAAGAAACTGGCTTTGAAAAATCTACTTGGAACTTTGAGGGAAAAAAATGTAACAAAATACTGCTTTCCTTTATTTTAGTAAGTCTTAATTTCTTGCTTCTTATTCACAGAACATATCAAATAATAATACAGTCCCATACTTGAGCATCATTTTGTAACTAATCCTTCAGAGTTTAGAGAGGAAATTGAATATTTTAATGGAGATATTATATGCTAGCTGAAAGTCAAATGTTTTTGTTTTTGTTTTTAAATTAAATGGGGAGAAAGGCACTGACCCTTTCGGATAGATAAATTACTGAATTGCATTTGCCCCCAGGATGCACATTGGCCAGAGAACATTAAAGCTCTGCACAGTTGACGTTGCTGGACACTTGCTGGGTGAGGACCGAGTGCAAGGAATTACAGAACTGGAATTACAGAGCTGCCGCATTCTCATGATGCCTTATCTCGTCTTAAAGATTTAGCTGCTGACATGAAAATCAGTCAAGACCCCATACTCAGAATCACATGCTTGCATTAAAATTGTGTGGTTCTGCTCATGTGATGGGCTTGCTGTCTTGCTTATTTTTTATCTGGGCAAGTTCCCAGTAATCATCCAAGTTCTTCTTTATGTGATTGTTTGACAGAAAGCAAGAGTAGCATTGAAATGGACATTTGAAAACCTGTCCCATGGTTTATCCTTGACCAAGTCTGTTGGCCTTTGCACTAAAGGTGGAGAGTAAAACAGTGGGATTTTTGGCATGGAGTGTGTGTGAACCCGTGGGCACAATTATCATTTCTGATGATGCAGTGAATGTCCTTAATGTTACCAAACCTCAACACTTCATGAAAGATCTCTTTAAATATTTTGTGCAGGACATGAGAAGGTTGCTTAAAACAGCACTGCTTCATACTGAGCAGGATGGTCTTGAAGAAATCAGTGTTGTTAGTATTTGAGTTCTGGTAAGTTGAACTAAGATAGCTGCT